CGCGGGTCAGAGCGAGGGTGGCGAGGTCGCAAAGAGTTGCAAAGTGGTAGGTGTGCTCGATTGCTGCAAGGCAGGGGCAAAGTGGCCCTCAGGTACTTCAGCCTACGGCGCCCGGGTTGAGAGGCCTGGTCGACGGGGGCGGCCTCTTGAACCACTCACAGCTTGAGCCAAAATGGCTACGGCTTTGGGCCTCTCTCTCTCTCTCTCTCTGTCTCCCTCTCCCGCCCCCAGCATGAGGGCTGTTCAGGTTTTCTGGGAGCCCACCTGCTCTGTCTCTGTCCCTCTGTCAACTTGCTTGCTTCGAGCCTTGGGAAATCGTAGGGCGGGTGCTTTCTCCTGATGCCTGTTGCTGATGTCTTGTATGTAGCGAGCATGTGGACCCCCAAACCCTGCATCTGAGCAGACGCGCCTTGCTGAAAGCCGCTTCATCAGCTCTTGGAACTTTGCTGGATCTTCTTCGCAAACAGTATCCATGGCCAAAGTTCTGTAATCAACATCTGGCCGTGCCTTTTCCATTTCGTCTTTCGTCCAAATGCCGCGTTTGCCAATCTCTATAAATGTGCCGCCTGCTCCTACAAAAGCTAAGGATCGCCCGATGAAGTTGTCGTGACCTTTGCTCAGCATCCAGACCGTCCAGGTTCAGTTTTGGGGGACTTGATCAGAATCAATATTCTACGTAAAGCAGCTGAACTCGCCAAGGTTCTGAGACTGTTCAGGACAACATCGATCTTTGCAGAATTGTCGTTTGCGAGCGCTCTGGCCAGTTCTTCCTCGAACTTGCTGCCGTCCCTCGAACTTGCGACCTGTCACTTGCGACGGTCGCAGCTCAAAACAACAGCTCATTAGTGGAAACAAAGCCCTTGCTATCGCATCACGAACCGCAGTGGGGCCACACATGTCACACCCATTCGAAGAAGCAGGCTCCGCTTGTCCTGCCCGATTCTGCCAGTGTGCCAGTCCGGATCATGCAAGAAAACATCATTGGCAAAAACGAACCGAAGTGCCGCCTCCTTCCCGGCTGTCGCGTAAACCAGGGCACCAAGCCGCAATGCATATTGTACAGCTGTAAGTCCAACACCACCTGCATCCACATCTCACATTCTGATTAGTGTCCGGGCTCTCTGGTCTCGCCTGCCCCAGCATGGATGAGAACGCGCTGTCCAGCCTTCAACGAAGGCCCACAGGTCAACCGACTCGGGACACTTCTGTTGGTTCATAAACATCATTACAAGCGCGGGAATGGGTGCTTGAAAAGCAGATTGAGGGGTTTGAAAATTTCAGCAGCAAAACAACTGCCACAATTCCGCAGAGGTGTTCGCTTCGTCTACGCTTTGCTCCTTCTGCTTGGGCTCCGAGGCTTCGGCAGTGGGAGGGGAAAACGCGCGCACTTGCGCTTCCGGAGGACCCGGTCCGGCCATCTTCCCATGGCGCGCAGCGCATCGCAGCGCGGCGTGAGTCACGGCGTGTCACATTTTTTTTCGGGGAGTCACTGCTCACAGCCGAAGCGTCACAAAAACCGAACCGAGCCATCGGACCTTGAGGCCGGCGAGGTGACAGAGAGCCATGTCGACGGTCGTAAAAACGGTTGGCAGGGCGGCAGCTTCCACATGGGACCAACTGACCGGACGCTCAACAAGCAGCCTCGGCTCCTCACAGGGAAGGGAAGCAACACGGTGCCTTATCTTGCTTGGTTCCGGTCCTTGACGGTCGCAAAGGTTCGCAAGCAGCCAAATGAGATGCCGAAAAGCCTTGTTCCAGGCAAGGCCACTGCGTCAGGGCCATCATCAAACGCAATGCCACTGCAGTCCAGGCCAGGATCGCCTGTACAGTGCTGAGGCAGCAGTCAGCGAGTCGCCGTGCATGCTTGGCATGATGAACCCTGTGACCGTCTGTGACCCTCCACGGGAAGTAAAAGGAATGCCGCCCGGCTTGCCGCAAACCCGAATTCACAGAGCAGCAATGAGCATCAAGATCATGACCGGCTGGACCAACCTCCAACCCTGCTACAAAGCAGCACCAGTGTTAAGTGCTTCCCGGCTTGGACTTGGAGAATCCCAAGCCCGACTCCCTTGAAGGACATGAGCTCATATTATTAATAAGCTGAACACAGTTTGCGGACTCAACTCACTTGAAGCCTGTCGTTCAAATCGGCCGAAACTCATGCCAATTGGAACGAAATAGCAGGAATCGAACCGGAAAGGTTCAACCGACGGGTACCGAACTGAACAAGTCCCCTCTCTTCCAGATCGACATCCCGCCTAACGAGAAGAATACGGGTCCGAGTGTGATGCAACGGGACAAGGGTCTAAGGAAGGAAGAAACCTAATACGAGTGCAGCAAGCAGCAGTTCAACTGCTTCAACCTTTCCAGATTCTTACGCTGACGCGGTGTTGCGGTTCAGTGATGGGCACAAGTGATGCAGAGTGCACGCCTGGGTCGCCAGGATACAAGTCCAGAACGTTCAACACCTTCAAGATCAAGGACAGAAGGAAATCTGTGGCTGCGGTCTAGTTTAGAACAGCCGTGCGTGCTGACATGAATACACCAGATGAAAGATGTTGTGCACGAGCCCACCAACCTTGAGCACTTTACTTAAACTGAGCTCCAAACATCTCTGAAGTTCAAGCCCACTGCTGCTACACCTTAGTCGTGGGCGGTGACAGCTGACAAGCGTCCGGAAATGACAGAACTGCACGATTGTCTTTTCAGCGAGGCGGCGGAAGCCCGTCTTTGAATGCTGTGGCACGGGAACCAGGGAAGCGAAGGTGCCACGGCTTGGAAGAGACAGCCTGCAGACACTGTGCAAAGAAGGATCAGGTGGTGCACCAAGGTACTGAAGAGCTTCGATCTTAGATGCAGTGCAGGAGCTGCAGCGGCCAACGCGGAAAGAAGGAGTTCTTCTGCAACCTGTCCGAAAATCACTGGGTTTTCGACCTCCACGGGTCTCCGGCCTTGCAGCATAGGCAGTCTTCTCTCGAAGACAGAGCTCCTGTCACATTGAGCTCACCGATGTGCAAGAGAAGTCAGAAGCACCAAAACTTCTGGTCCACTGCCTGCTCTCTCCAGCTGCTGACAGGCATCAAGGTCAGGTCCGCTCCATCCTGATGCATTAGGTGCGAGCAGCTCAATGTTGAGGTCTCAGGGCATCCGAATGAATCTGTCAATAGACAAGGCTCTGCTGGCAAGTCCAGGCAAATGACACTCTGTTCTGGCATCTCCAGTCGCGCTGACCGAGCCAAGCCCCAGAGGCCTGCATGCGTTGGATCAAAACTGTTCCTCAGCTTATCAGCACTGCACGTATCATCGCGCCATCTGCTATGCTCCATGAATGACCCACTGCTGAAACGTGTGCCGACAAATAGTTCAAACTGGTTCCACCCGCCCACCCTCTGGATCAGCCGGTTGGCTGGTCGAGCTCGGGTGGCTGAGCCGCTTGAGCGACCAAGACAACGCTAGTGTTCGACTTCGATGCAGTCTGCAGCACTTGCAGAGCGCTGTAAAGTGCTTCCAATTGACCATCCTCCGCTAGGAATGCGATGCAGCCAAACTTTCCGGAGCCTCGCCATGCACGAGAGGATGACTTGGAGTGGAGATACTGTCATGGATTGCGGCCTAGGAGCCGAGCAGGGATAACGCCCTCGTCGAGTCACGAGCAAACTGACACATGTCTGCCTTCCAAGACAAGGCGGCCAGGAGCTGATCCTGTCGCTGCTCGGAGCACCAGACGATTACATTCGCAGTCTCTGGATTTTCCTTCTCTGGCAGGTCAGGGCTGGGGCTTGCCATCTCCATGAAGGCAACGCAATACATCTGCTCAAGCTGCGGCGGCTGCTGCTGCTGCTGCTGCTTCGATTCTGGCGGCTCTGGCTGCCGACGCGCTCTGCAGGTCAGGCGGCATAGCCGTGCAATGAGCACACCATCGTCCGTGGAAATCTCCACATCACCAGACACCGCTTCAGTAGATATAGTCCGAACCAATACAGTCACCCACACATCCCAAGAAGGCAAGCTCGTCGCGATGACGCAGTTGTCAATGCTGAAGGGCAGAAAGCATTGATGGGAGTCTGAGCTCGAAGCTAAGAGTAGCAGTTGGATAGCACCATCCAGGATGCCAGGGTGCAAATCCAGGGAGCGGTCCCAAGTCTCCAGGTTCAAAGATAACCGCCCCAGCACATGCAAACCTTGGTGTGGACATATCTGGTTTTGTGTGCTGTCTAGCAGCCGATGTCAAAAAACTGCGCACGCCCATGCATCCCAAACAGGACTGGCCCTCTTGGGATTGTCCCGAAGAAGAAGCAACACGGCTTAGAACGAAATCACCCCGCCGACGTTCTACACTGCGGCTCGAAGTCGCAACGTACTGTAGTAGCCTTCAGGATTCACAGTGTTTCTAAAGCAGAAATGTCCTGAGTCTCAAAGTTTTCGGAAAAGGCCCCGCCACGAAGCCGTCACCGCTCGTTGACCAAGAGGAGATGGCACGGAAGCTCGGGCCGTACTCGAGCCCAAGCTTCTCCAAAGTCCTCGCATGCGCTACGACTCTTTCGATATCTTTTGGATGTCTTCATTTGGCACAACGCATCACAACGCCAGCAAAGCCCCTTTTTGGTCCGGTCCTGTATGCATCAAGTGCAGAGCGTTGGGATTGACATTTAGACTTCCATTCCACCAAACTGTGTTGAAGAATGCTGCCACGGGCTCCGGGTCCTCCCACCACGCCTCTGCTGCGCCAAAAAAAGTTCGACTCCGATACGGTGCCTGGGCCTACGTTCTGGAGACTCAAAGAGTTTTCCCCGCAGCCGTTCGGGTTTTGAAGTGGCGTGTCTTGGATACAGCCTTTACATGTATCTGGCATCAGCTCTCTGTCAACGATGCGGATTCCTACCCGTTCACCCCACAGTCCTAGAGATTCGACAGCGGCAGTGCATGTGCTTGAGAAAGCGCTCATGCTGGCTGAAGCGATCATACTCTCGAACAGCAGACACATCGACGGCGATGTGGATGAAGAGATTGCAAGGTGCAAGGAAAGTTCGAAAGACTACTCGATGTGCAGATAATGGATCAATGATTCGATCTGTGATGATCAAAGCAAGCAAGCAAGCTGCAGCCAAGAAGCGCGTGCTGCGGGATTGTGCATGTAATGCGTGGCCGTCTCTGCTGCGACTTGACAACTTGGCCCCTGTAGGAAGGATCTGTACTTCTGCAAAGGATTGCGACGAAGCTGACAACACGAAGGCGCTTTCAAAAACCGTGTCCTCGGCTGATTGGCTCTTCGGCACATTTCTGCACTCTGCACAGGCGTGGAGACGAGACGACGAGCTGAGACAAGAGTCGTTGAGTTCCACGAACATCTCTTGCGCGAAGGACCCCCTCGGTCGCAGGCATGAGCAAGAAGGCCCAAGCGTTTGCACTCTCTGCCCGTTGAGCATCCCACTTTCAAACCTGCTAAATTCCACTTCTCGAAGGGACCGGACACGGATGCAGTTGACTATCCGAACTTCGTCGTTTATCACCTCGCAAGCTCTGCTTAGTATCTGATTGTCCCCGTCATGCAGAGGTCTGGCATGTGCCAGTGAGCCAGTAACATCCAGCAATTATGTGCCCACAGTTTGCCTAAATCTTAACATGATATTTCGACCGCAGTCGCTCAGAATACCTATTGGGTAAGGACTCTGTGAGTTCGCGGTCAAGGAGCACATTGCCTCGGTACTGCGTGGCTAGCGTGGCAGACGAGAGCAGCAGCAAATGTGAAGCTGCGGGAAGCACTGCCTGCCCAGATACCTCGATTCGACACCAAGCTTCCGAAACATGCAACTGCGTGTCTGTGTGTGTGTGTGTGTGCGCGTGCTCGGCAAGCGAAACCCACACACGAACATGTTGATTCTGAGGAGTCGTTTGGCTTCGGGAATCGAGCCTTCTGAATGTGCCAAACCACTACACAGGTCCGCTGCTACAGGCCACATGATCAAGGAACTCAGCACGGTATGGAAAACATGTCTGATGACATAACTACAAATCTCGCGGCATCTTCATGCTTTGCAGGAAAGCGTACAGACTCTACTCTACTGGCAATGACTGATGCACTCGCCAAGATCAAGTGTGCACGTGACTGTCGACAAAGCTGATGTGTTTTCGCACTGGGGTGGGTTTTAGTGGGACGCAGTCTTGAACTGTCAGCGAGCGTGTGCTTAGAATTTCGGGCTGCTAAAGCGGGTGGGTCGGGAGTCACAGAGAAGCATTTGTCATTTGTGATGCACTCGGCAGCAAGCCACAAGGAAGCGAAAGCAAGTACATGCAACTACAGCAAGTTTTGGCCCCCACGGAAGCAAGTTTGTGCACACAAACTGTATGCGGAATGGAACTGGCTCATGAAAACACCACTGAGCTCAGGCTTGCCCAGGGCACGCGATGTTGGCGAAATAAGCAGATCACCGGGGCGGCTGTCGCGGCTTCGTCGTCCCAAAGTGCTATTCGGGATCGGAATACCTGACTGGAGTGTATTTGGGTCCGACTGCAGCACAGCATCCCACAGCGAGAGCGGCAGGTGTCATCCATATAGTCTTGCCTCCGAGCCATTCTCCATCTGAGCAGAGCCCAGCAGTGGGTGCAAGCAAGGTCTCACCTAGGCCACAGGTTCAACCAGCGCCAAGCAGGTCATTTTAGTGGTGTCCTAAGGTTGGCACCCACGGTACCCGCTGCAGTTGCAAGTCGGGTGGTTTGAAGGACGTTCCCTGCAAGCTTGAATTACAATGGCAGTCAACAAATGCCCGGAGCATCAAGCATCCGGGAAAATGCAACTCCGTCTTCAGTCACAGCTACTGGAGCGGTGGCCGCAGAAACAAACAGTCGTCTTCGCGGCTTCAGCAGCTCTTCGCAAGATCGCGCGAGCGGACGCGGAAACGAGGAAGCTCATTTGGAAAATGCGAGGTGCAGCTTTGGGAGACGCTTTTGGGCTGTTGGACTTGTCCGACGTCCCACTGGTCCCGCGAGTCGCTCGAAGATCAGAAAGTCTCGAAAGCTTAAGGAATTGTTTTCCAATCGGAAAGTTTGGGCATGACAGTTCTTGAATCGGACCACATCCCGCAAACTGCGAGCTTCTGAATCCATGACGAACCCGTCCTCTGGCTTTGGCATGTTTGGTTTCATCTGCGCCTCCCTGCCGTGTGCTCGAACAACTGTGCTGTTGTTCCTTACGGGCATTTTGCATCTGAATGAATAGCCACCCTCTTCATGGCTTCCACCACTCCGAAACCCCTTCCGCTGCGGTGCATCTCGTCTGAGGCTCCTCCAGAAATCATGTCCTCTGCTCTCCGTTCCTCGCCCACCCTTGCCTCGTCACTCTCCCTCCAAATCGGCCTTTCAGAAAGATATGAGAATGATCCAGGGATAGGAGCATCGGCACGAGCACCACAGGTCGCTGGCTGATCCTACGATTCAGACAGATGCCGTGAGACCGGACGGTGATGCCAGCCCCAGTGAGACAGAGGCGATGATGGCACCAATGCAGTTCCAAATCAAGCAACAGGAAACCGAACGGCAATTGTGCTAGCCAGTCAGCTTTGTTTGGCAGCTCTGCCCCACCCTGGCCTTCAAAGATCGCAATGCCGACAGCATGCTCTCCGTCTCGCATCGGTCTGGCCTGCAGTGCTCGACTGAACCTAAATGTCTCACCGTCTCACCCTTGGTGACTCTGAGGGCAGGTCTCCAGGCTAGGGAGCCAAGCCGCTGCGCTGGACTGGGGCAATGCAGCTCTTGCAGAAGCGGCGTGTGCTTGGCTTGGCCCTTTCACAACTGTTGCCTGGCCAATGCAGCTCTGCCCCAATGGCAGCAACCTGGCAAGGGCGCTTGATCGCAACACCGACCATCAAGGGTTTGTCGGGACATGCTCCATCGCACCACTTTGTGCCCCTTGAAGTTGTGATTCTTCCACTGAAGAAGCATTGCTCGCCCAACGTGGAGGGAAGTTAAGGGACTCAAGACGCAAATGCTTGCAATGGCTTGTAACGCTGTATTGTGTCCATGGTTTGTTGAAGGGAGGCCAGTCGCCGTACACTCCTCGCACCCTGCATCCATATCATCTATCAACATTCGGCTAACTTGTGTAACACCAAAGACGATGCTCTTTGCTCGCCACCGGAAACCCTCCTGGAACAGATAATTTGGCAGAGATGACAAAGGCCGCGGACCTCAGGTCAAGATGGGTAGCTTGAGCCGAGGCCAAAGCGAGACTCGTACAAGCCCTGAGGGCTGCACCGATCTCCAGGTAGACAGTGCAGGACAGTTCGGCCAGCGATCTCATCTGAGCCGAAGGTCATGTTGGTTGAAAGAGAAGGAGCCTGCGTGCCTGAAGCTTATGCTTTGTTCTGCCTGAGGCCTTGACCGCAAGGTCAAATTTCACAGGTCGCGCTGTGTCGTGACCTTGTTCCGACATGAAACTTCACATCTGCCCTCCCCCTCGGTGAAACCCAAACTCTCGAAAACAACCGCTACCCCTATCGCTACCTGCACCTAGTATGCATCTTCATGGCTAATTATCTGGACAGGTAGACTAGAGACATCTAGATGCCGAATACTAGTGAAAGTTTGGTCGTGAGGAGTCCGGAGTGCTGCAGAAGCTGCAGAGAACGTGTTTCCGAATGTTCAGTGAAGCCATCGTGCACAGCTTTCGCAGCCTTATATTGCAACTTAGTGAGTGGTGCTGGGCTTTGGCTCTCCGTGTTTGTCATTGCTCTGATTGGTCTCACGTCCGCGACGTGCTCCGTTGAGCCGTCACGCATAAAATGTTACTGTACAGTCGGACATAGGAAGCACATGGCAACACTGTTTGATACTAAGTACATGTGCATGAGGTCGATGTTGAGGTCTGCACTCAACCAATACGCTGGCTTTGCCACTTCAAGAGTTTCCCGTGCTCCACTTAGGCAGGAGACCTTGGTTAATAGCTTCGGCCAGCAACTCAATTCAATGATGCGCAAACCCTGCAAGCGAAACAAGTTCGGACATTCGCATCAGTCGAAAGTAAGACATGTGCGAACATTACGCCTTCTGCGGGGCTGGAGAAGGCGCAAGTCTGTCAACGGCGCAACAATGCTGCAATTCTGAAAAGATGTGGCGGGTGCACGTAAATCTCAGCGGTGACACTCGCCTGGAGCTCCTTTTCTAGTCCTGGTGCGGCAAATTGTGGCGGAAGATGGCGGAAGCATGCTTCTCTTGTGGCTTGCGACAGGCGCATCCTGGCAACACGGCCGCCAGCAGCTCCGAGTGCATCGCGTGGAGCCTATAGTTTTGTCGGGAACAGACCTTCTGTGTCTTTTTCAAGCGGGAGCAAGCCGGAGTCGGGTGGAAGTCCTTCCTTTGGTGGGTTTGGGACACAGGGCTACAGCTTCACCCTGTCTTTCTGAAGTACGATGATACTCTTTCCTTCGCCGGGTTAGGGCCCTACACCGCGCGCGTTAGCGCCCCCGACTGTTGCGGGTGCCAAAAGTGGAAAATGCAAACAAGGCAAACAGCGCTCGGATGGATCAGCGGGGATGACCCCGAG